GTGGATGTCTTAAACATTATCTTAACTGCTAAACACCTGGCCCTAATTCCTATTTGAGTGGAAGCCACCACTCAATGATAGCCAGAAATTTTTAAAAACTCTGAGGGTTTGCAATTATTGAGAAGTAGCAACATGGACAAGATTTCCTGTCTCTTTCCAATTTGTAGTCTTTTTTTTTTGCTTCTTACATGGGAATTCTGATTTCATTTCTGTATAAGAGCTTTCAAAAGAAAAAAAAACTCACACCTGAGTATCCCATCTGGCTGTGCAATCTGTGTGTAGGGTCTCCGTGCACACAAGTCTATATGGTCAGGGTTCTTAAACCTGATTGAATGTTGGAATCAGCTAGAAGCTTTAAAAAAAAAAAGACCAATGTCTATTTCCTACACTCATAGTGTCTGATTTAACCTTTCTGGGTTTGGAGCCCAGGCATTCTTTTTTAATAAGCTCCCCAGGTGATTTTAATTCGCAGCCAGGGTTAAGAATCGCTGAAATAGATGATGTTGCTATTGATTTTCAGTTCAGCCAACATGGTGAACAACTGTGCTTGGCTTCTGACGCACCTGCTTTCTTATCTGCCAGTCACAGCCTCTTGTTTTGTCTGGGAGTCAGCCCCTTCAAAACTGTGTGGAAAGTTGTGATGCTTTCTGATTGGCCTAGAGAACAGGAGTGCTAATTGAACCCTGAGGGCTCCCTCTCATGTGGAATGCTTTGTCTCTGCCTTTCAAATAAAAAAATACAATTTTTTCAAAAATTAGCTTGAAACTCTCATTATTCTATACACTGCTCTGCTACTATAATGTTGGAATAGTCAGTGTGCCACCTGTTACAACTCTGTTAACCTGAATGATTATGAATTTTCCAACAGTTCTGAGTTTGAGCCCTTGAAGGAGATTTTATGTTCTTTGGACAGTGTTGGTGTTCTGTGTGATCAATATTTTACCTCCACTACATGGGATAATTTGTGTTGGTTTTGCTTACTTTCAGCAAGGAGTCCTAACTATTATATGAATTCTTTGTCTCTGAAATTATCTTTCTGGGAATTTTGCCTTGGGTATATTTTTCCTGGTTGCCAAAAAATTTGAGTGTGTAGTAGAGAGTAGAGAAAGTCTAGGACATTGTGGAGTGAGGGGTGGCAGAGGGAGAGTGAGAGCCAAGAAACAATAAAATGTGAAATGCAGACTTGGAGGATTGTGTTTAGTCTTTTTCAGCGAAAAATCCCTGAACCATCCTAACAGTCTCAAAGCAACCTTGCTGGGTATAGGTTGGCTGGGAAAAGTAGGACAGGATGTCATGTATTGATCCTGCACAACTAGTGGGGGTCTTCAAGAAGTTCATGGAAATATGTGTTACACACACACACACACACACACACAAACAAAACAAAACTGTGCACGGGCTTCAATTTCTTTTTGCACCAAAGCAGACTTATTCAATTCCATTTCCTACAAACCTTTTGAAGCACTCTTCTAAATAAGTGACAGGGACAGAATTTGATTTCTAAACACAGGTACTTTCCATTGCTCTCCACAGCTATAAAACACCTCTCACTCCATCACTGTTCTGCTTTGCTGATAAGCACAATCATTATGAATTTTAAGGCAGCTAGAGTTATCTCGAAGGTTATCAGCCAGATTTTCTGTTCTCTGGATGATGTTTATCAGCCTCACCTTGAAACAGCTCAGAAACGGCAGTGTTTTTCTTTAGGGCTGGAAGCTATGGGTTAAAACTGTTTATTTAAACAGGAAAAAAAAGTCAGATGCTGAGTTCTCCAGCTTTCAGATACTCATGATGTCTAATTCCATGAAAGAATCAGATACAAAGGGGTATGTCCAACTTGTGTTCCCACAGGTTCTTTGCTAAGCTTGTCTGATTCTCTGTCTCTCTGTCTCTCTGTCTCTCTCTCTAAAGATTTGTTTATTTTACTTGAAAGTCAGAGTTACATAGAGGAGGAGAGGCAGATTGAGAAAGAGAGGTCTTCCATTGGCTGGTTCACTCCCCAATTGGCTGCAATGGCTGGAGCTGTGCCAATCTGAAGCCAAGAGTCAGGAGCTTCTTCCAGGTCTCCCACGTGGGTGCAGGGGCCTAAGCACTTGGGCCATCTTCTACTGCTTTCCCAGGACATAGCAGAGAACTGGGTCGGAAGAGGAGCAGCTGGGTCTCGAACCGGTGCCCACATGGGATGCCAGCACTGCAGGTGGTGGCTTTATCTGCTATGCCAGGGCACCGGCTCCCTTTGTCTGATTTTTTGCAGTGATGGTAACAAACTGAGGGTCCTAAATATGGCTGTCTTTGGAGAACTTGTTAGGAAAAAAGTCAAAAAAGGGTCAGACATTTGACCCAGCAGTTAAGACCCCAGTGGGACATCAACATCCCATATCAGAGTGCCTTGGTTCATGTCCCACTTCTGCTCCCTGTTCCAGCTTCCTGCTAATGTGTACCCTTGGGAGGTGGTTGATGATGGTTCAGGTACTTAGGTCCCTCCAGCAGTGTGGGATTCCTGAATTGAGTTCTCAGCTTCTAGGCTTGATTTGGCCCTGCTCTGACCATTGCAGACATTTGAGGGCTGAATCGGTGGATGGGAGTTCCTGACTGGCTGTCGCTCTGCTTCTCAAATAAATAAATATACATACATGCATAGCAGTAACATGTTGTACTTTACAAACCAATTTAGTCTGAATAGTCATGAGAAACTGCCTCCCCGACTAGTCAGTTAGACAGAAGGATGCCATGCCTAACCGAGGACAAAGGCAAGTTAGACTTAGATCCTGGAGGTTAAGTCTCAATTCCCAGCAGTGAAACCACTCACCTTTTCATGTCTAATTGCAGCCATCAGTTTAATCCTTAAAGAATTATGTCCAATTGGTTTCCGTCTGTCTGCATTTGTAAATGTCATTCTGCCCAGCATGCGTTGTAAAGATTAGCCTTGCTTCCTCGTTTTGTTAGCATGAATCAATAATGTGGGATTCTTGGCTCACTGAATTTTTAAAGTCATCTGTGAATCAATGTAGGCTATTTGTGCAGTGCCCTTATAACATGCTAATTTGATATCATTGGATAAAATGCCAAGTTTTGGAAGACAGTTATTGAAAATTTTAAGATTAGCTTAAAGGTTAGCCAAAGCTATAGAAGAGAGAGGTTATGTTATTTTGTGAGCACTGACAAATGCGTGGATTTCATTCCTTGGGGACAGGTAAAATTAAATTAGCAAAAATTAATCGTAGGTTCTCAGCAGAAGTGTGGTTCAGGAAAATGCAAACAAGAAAAGCCTCTATGTGGAAGCTTTTTGATGGAGCCTTCAAAACACTCATCAATGATTCAAACATGCCTCACTCTGGGAAGATGTGGCAACGATTCCGGACATCACATCCTATGGAGAAAACAAGCGGAGTGCAGTGCACTTCCTGGAAATTGCTCTGTGAGGGGGGTTCATCTTACCCAAAGTTAGGTGCAAAGAAAGCAGAAAGTAGTGATCCTACAAAGGGGTTCACTAATTTTTTCCACCTCAGACCTTTCACAGCCAGCTTGCTTCATGACCTGAGCTTGAATAGAGCCAAACTCTTCACAGGCCTATGGAAATAGATGTTAATAGAAAGCTGCCATTTGTCAGTCTAAGTGAGCCTTTAAAAATACCCAACTTCATTAGTTATAAGAGGCAGCAATTTTAAAAATACCATTTTACTAATAAAGTTGGTAAATACTGGGGGCCAGGATCATGGCATAGTGAATAAAGCTAAGTTTGTAAATACTGAAAAAATATTGAAACTGCTGAGGACTGGGTGACTTACTGCTCAGAACACACACACACACACACACACAGGCACATGCATGATGGCAATCTTTCTGACAAGTCATTTTATAAAAGGATCAGGAGTGTTTAGTACCCTTTTAAACCTAGCAAATGTACTTTTTGGGGACACCAAAAATTCTGAGCAAATATTTGTGGTTAAATGTGTATTACTATGTTAAGTAACAAAAAAAGGAAATAATCTAAAAATCTAACAAGATATGTGATCACAATTGTTATAATATTGCCAATGATAAATTGTCCTGGACTCATAAAAATAGGGAGGTTGCAAAGATTTTTAATTACGTCCCTTCTGAATCAAAAAGAGAGAGAGAGAGAGAGAGAGAGATTTACCACGCCTAACCTGGGGGTGTCACCTTGGCACACCCTTAACTCTGAGGAACCAAACAGAGCTCTCTGGCCACACCCATCTCAAGCCTCTAAGGCTCCATCAAAAGTAGACAGTCCACTTAATACAGTCATAGTATAACAAGAAAAAAACACCACAGCGAGGGAAGAAGAATCCAAAGAATATCTCCACAGTGCCAAGCAACAAACGCAGAAACCAAGGAAACAAGAACAAGGAAGTCATTATGACGCCCCCAAATGAACAAGACACCCCAAGCCAAGATTATGAAGATGATGAGATGGAAGAAATGCAAGATACGGATTTCAAAAAATTTACGATAAAAACATTTAGAAGTTTTCAAAAACAAATGCTTGAGCTACAGAAATCCTTACTGGACAGGATAGAAAATCTCTCTCGTGAAAATGAAATCTTAAGGAGGAATCAAAATGAAATGCGGAAACTAGTAGAACAGGAAAATGTGATAGTGAAGAGAAATCAAAATGAAATGAAGAACCTAATAGATCAAATGACAAACACATTAGAGAGCCTTAAAAACAGAATGGGTGATTTTGCAGAGGTTTTCGAACTTCATCTTTTTCTCCTCCTGCTTCTTCTCCTCCTCCTCGTCTTCCGGCAGCTCCAAGCCCTCCTTGGTAACAGACACGAGTGTCTTCCCCTCGAACTCCTTCAGCTGCTGCATGCAGTCCTTGTCGATGGGCTTGATCATGTAGATCACCTCCAGGCCGTGCTTCCGCAGGCGCTCCACGAAGGCAGAGTTTGCCACCTGGTCCTTGGTCTCACCTGTGCTGTAGATGTGTTTCTGGTTCTCCTTCATCCTGGTACAGTAGTCCTTGAGGGACACCATCTCGTCGCCAGAGGCAGACGTGTAGTACCAGATTGGTGACCTCTCCGTGCTGCATCGTCACAAGCACCTACGGCTGGACGGCCAACATGGAGAGGATCATGAAAGCCCAGGCCCTGAGAGACAACTCCACGATGGGCTACGTGGCTGCGAAGAAGCACCTAGAGGTCAACCCCGACCACTCCATCATCGAGACCCTGAGGCAGAAGGCGGAGGCGGACAAGAACGACAAGTCCGTGAAGGACCTCATCATCCTGCTCTACGAGACCGCGCTGCTCTCCTCCGGCTTCAGTCTGGAGGACCCGCAGACACACGCCAACAGGATCTACAGCATGATCAAGCTTGGCCTGGGCATTGATGAAGACGACCCCACTGCTGACGACACGGCCGCAGCTGTGACGGAGGAGATGCCACCCCTGGAAGGCTACGACGACACCTCCCGCATGGAGGAAGTGGACTAGCCTTGCGACCCTCGACCTGGGCACCCTCACTCCCTCTGAGAATATATTTTCAAGGATTTTTTTTCTTTATTTTTGTTAACATTTTAAAAAAATCTGTATGGCATGACAACTAATTAAGGGGAAGATAAGATTTCCTTCTACTTCTAAGTGATACTGTGATGTTAGGCACAAGCAGAGTAGTGATGCTTGTACTCCCACGTGGCTTGTGACAGATGAGGTGACGCTTGCTGTGAGGTGTGTGTAGCCCATCGTCAGCGTCGTGGTCTGCAGTGTGTAGCTGTCAGCGAATTCCTTAGGAGACCAGATCTTGTCACTGAACTGGTCTGAGCTATGCCTTGGTGTTAAGTGGCTTGAGTTCATCTCCTAGGATGTACTTGTTAGTGCCCCTGTAGTTTCCGACCCCGCATGTGCTCATCCTCTAGAAATAGGCTAACCTGAACCAACTTGACAGAGGAACTCTCCACGAGGCTTGTTTTCCAAAGAAGTGTTGTTAAGGGGAACAAAATTACAAACCTACCTGGGTCTGTTGTGACATTGTTGGAAAGTCACCGAGGTTTGTGGGTGGACTGTAGTGCCCAAGTCGTTTTTTGCTTTAAAAGGTTGTGACAAATACAGATGCGTTGAAAAAAAAAAAAAAAACAGAATGGGTGAAGCAGAAGAAAGAATATCGGACTTAGAAGACAGAGCACAGGAAAGTATACAGTCAAACCAAAGAAAAGAAGAGGAAATTAGAAATCTAAAGAATATTGTTGGGAATCTACAGGATACTATTAAAAAACCAACATTCAGGTTCTAGGAGTTCCTGAAGGCAGGGAGAGAGAGAAAGGATTAGAAGGCCTTTTTAGTGAGATACTAGCAGAGAACTTTCCAGGTTTGGAGAAGGACAGAGACATCCTAGTACAGGAAGCTCAAAGAACCCCTAGTAAACGTGACAAAAAGAGATCCTCACCACGACACGTTGTAATCAAACTCACCACAGTGAAACATAAAAGATTCTAAAATGTGCAAGAGAGAAACGTCAGATTACTCTCAGAGGATCTCCAATCAGACTCTCAGCTGACTTCTCATCAGAAACCCTACAGGCTAGGAGGCAATGGCGAGACATAGCCCAGGTACTAAGAAAAACTGCCAGCCCAGAATATTATCTCCTGCAAAGCTCTCATTTGTGAATGAAGGTGAAATAAAGACCTTTCATAGCAAACAGAAATTGAAAGAATTTGTTGCCACTTGTCCAGCCCTGCAAAAGATGCTTAAAGATGTGTTACACACAGAAACACAGAAACATGGTCATAAATATGAAAGAAGGTAAAGGAAAGAAACCTCACAGCAAAAGATCACAGGAAGTTCAAGGCATATATTAGAAAATATCTTTGGGAAATGGCAGGGCAAAGTTACTACTTAAATTTCCTGGAGAAATTCTTAAATATAATACTAAATGGCAAAAACAAGATATAAGGGAATGTACATGATATCATCTAACCTATGTGAAAAAAAGTACATTTTCGGAAAGATTCTGGAAGTTAATATACTGGGATGTTGAAAACCATCCATTCAACAAACATTTGTTGCCTGGTTCTACTGTGGTAGAACCAGAGGATAGAGGGAGGACGAATTATAAAGAAAACAAAGTGTGATGACAACTGGAAAGATGCCAACAGGGAGGGACAGGGTAGAGAGCTTCAGCAGAGTATCATAGAAGCCTTACTAAGGAGGTGAAGTATAAGCTGATCTGAAGACAGGAGGTGAAAAACATGACGTTCCTGTTGAGTATTGTGCCTAAGAGATGCACAAGTACAAAATCAGGGATGTTTGGGTGTGTCCTGGAAACATAACGAAGAGCTGATACCTGCTGAGTGGGGCCTGAGTTTTCCACAGCAAGCAGGCCCTGGACACTAGAGTCCTATATCTCACATCTTTGCAGTGGAAAAGCACTGGAGGGCTTTGAGCTGGGGAATGACCTCATATGATTTATGCATTTTAAAACACTCCTATAGATGCCCTTGGAAATGTAATATAGGGATCAAGAGAAAAAACAGAAATCAGTTAAGTAGTTTGGCATGTTTACTTTGATTCATCAGTCTTACTTCTGGCCATTTATAATGTGGTTATGATTGCATGTATGAGGACACCAAAGACAAGGTTATTGCAATGTTTGAGATAGCAAAAGATTGGAAACAACCCTGTTGTCAAACAATAGATGACTGGTTAAATAAATTTTGTTTCAGACATTTAATGGAATACTAAGCAACCAAATAAAGGAATAAGAACCCTCTCCAAGTATCCATGTGGAAAGGTGTATGGCTGAGTGAAAGGAAGAAGGAGCAAAATAAAATGTATTGTATGCTAACATATGCATAAAAACAATGGAAAATATAGTCTATGCTTGTATAAAGACTATAGAAGATCAGTCCTCCAAGTTAGGAGTTGGTCACCTGTGAAGCATATATGTGGGACGGGGTAATGGGGAGAAGGAATGTACCTACTTGGGTTTTTGAAGAGGTATACTACCTACTCAAGCAAAATTGAACCAGAAGGTAGAATTTTACCACAATCCATAGGAGAGAGGCTGGAGACGCAGGGTAATGGTATTTGAAGGTAGGGAGAAATGGATGGAACTGAAATGTGTTTTGCAGGCTAAGTCTTTGGAACTTAACTGAGGGATTGGTTGAGAATGAAGAGATAAAAATCAAATATGATTCCTAGGATTTTACCTTGAGAAACGTACTTGGTGACTGTGGCATTTTCTGAGTTGAGGGAAGTGATAATAGGTAGAATTGGAGGGAAAATCACAAGTCCCTTTTAAGGCTAAGTTGGAGATAATAAGGCATCCAGCAGAAATTGGAGGGGCATTTGGATGTAGGAGTCTGGAGATCAAGGTAGATGCAAGGCCTGGAGACAGAAGCTTAGGAGGCATGAGTGGAAGTTCAGCCCAGCAGTTAAGATACCTGCCTCCTGCCAGAGGGCCTGCACTCAGTAACCAGCTCCAGCTTCTTGGTAATGCAGGCCCTGGGAGGCAAGGTGATGGCTTAGGTAACTGGGCTCCTACCATGCATGTGGAAGGCCTAGATTGTATTCCCTACTCCAGCCCCAGGTGTTAGAGGTGTTAGGTGGACGTGTGTCTCTGTCCCTCTCAAATGAATTTAAAAATTATAACAATAAACTTAGGAGGCTTCAGCACCTTGGTGGTCTTTGAGCCATGGGATTAGACGTGATTACTTGCTGAATGAGGAACACAGCTGGATGGAGGAGGGGGAAGTTTCCCAGGACTGAGCCCTGTAACATTTATTATTTTAAATGAGGTAAAGAGGAAGATCCAGTTAAAAGGACTGAGAATCTGGGCTCTGGAGTTAGGAGAAAAATTAGGATTTTGTGATGATATGGTAGAGAAGAGAAATGAGTACTTTGAGGAGAAAGAAGTGGCCATGGATGTCACACGATGCTGGAAGTTAAAACAACAGCTCCAAAAAAGCAAGCATAGGATCTGCTGATGAGAGGGCTGCAGCTGGAGAGGAGAGGAATCAGAAAGTAGTTGCAGGGTTGAGATAGCTGTGGGCTTTTGTTTCTTTTCTGTAAGATGAGAAACTTGGGGCCCTGGCTGAATACCAGTGGGAACTGTGCGTTAGAAAGGGAGACCCTTGTGGTTCATGAGAGGGCGTGACAACTCAGGAACCCACAGAAACTAAGTCTTGGAGAGGAAAGGAGCCACAGCCAGGTAAAGGTGTTGGCCTCTGCCAGAACCCACTCCTTCTTCCATTGTCAGTGTGGTCAGCACTGCTAAACCAGGGGAGTGGGACTGTTACTGCCTCAGTTTACCTCACCTGAAAAATGGGAAATACATGACGCTTCCCCATAAGATCAAGTGTAATACCAGTGTCTGTAAAGAAGCACGTTCTCAGTAAATATTCATCACTTTTGTGATTTCCATTTCGTGCGATCACCAAATATTCTGTATTAAGTGTTGAAGTTAGGTGAAAATACATATTAATGTCATCCCCTATGTTTCCTGTCCAATGTGAATAATGGAAATGCAGAAGTGATCCCAAAACCCTTGGCACTTGAGAGTTTTCAGCACTGAGGACAGCAAGACTTCCTAATAATCAACACATACAAGATTCTAGTTTCTGATTGCCTAGGACCCAGTCAGTTTCATAAATACATGAAGGGTGTGTGGTGGCGTAGGGGTGGGGCAGGTAGGTGATGACTGAAACTGGCCTTAGATTGAGCCCTGCAGCAAATTCCACTACTCATTTGCAAAGAACAACCTGGGTTCTTTGTGGTGGCTCTGTTGCTTGCACACAGCACCAGTGTTGTACAGAGTCCTGCATCGTATGTCCCAGGAACCCAGTATGTTTGTGTGGGCTTAGAGAAAAGCGAGCAAAATCAGACTCCGTGTTCCAGAGGCAGGTTTGGGACACCTGCAACACTGTGAGGGTGGCAGATTACATGAGTCTGGGTTCTGCATATGTTGACTTTATCTTTTAATAATGCATTTCATTAGGGACACAGGCTATTGATATACCCAGAGAAAATGAATTCTTCACAGGTAGCCTTGCTCTTGAGTAGGTTCTTAAGCCAAGACAGAGGCAGCAACACTTGACAGCTGTTTCTCTTATTAAAAACTGCCCATCTGTGACTCTGGGGAAGGGGACTAGAAACAGAGTAGGGATGGGAAGGGAATTAAATCTCACTGGGGTCCTATTTGCCCAGTTCGGCTCATTTGATCACCTCAGCTACTTATAAGGTAGGCATCTGCCCTATTTGTAGAAGTGGGAAACCCATGAGAAGTTTTCCAAATTTGCCTAAAGTTACCCAGCTGATGGGGAGCCAACTGACGTATGAACCCAAGACATTCTTCCTGGATTTAGCACCTGCTCCTTTGCTAGGATATCTTGACCTCAGCACTAACATTTAGAGCTGGATGATGATTGTGTTTGTGAGTTGAGGATACAGGCGCTGCCCTGGGCATGGTAGGATACTTAGCATCATCCTAGGGGCACCACCCCCTGCCCTCAGCTGTGATAACCAAAAATAAATCCAGACATTGCCAAATGTTCTCTGGGGATGACATCTCTCTGGGTTGAGAACCCCTGGTCTGCATCTTGCTACCGAAGGAATGCTTCTACAGCTTAGAGCCCAGCGGCAGTTTTCGATTGTTGCCATAGATCGTATTTGTGAGTGCCTTGTCCATTCATTGTTTTGTAATCTCCTTCATTTGTCCCACTGATAGTGACTGCCTGTCTGGTCTCAGCCTGACACTCTGCTGGGTAGCAAAGGAAGGAGATGAATGAACGGTCTTGGTGCATGCAGTCGGGGGAGGGGCAGATACATCTACAGCGGCAGTGCAGTGAGTCCAGTGTCAGCAGTGCCTCAGGACGGCAGTATTTATCCCAGCTTGAGGACTGGGTTTTGGAGCAAAAAAAATCTGCTTGCTGTGCAGGGTCTGTGGTAGACCTAGAAGATAATCTTATCTTACAGGCTTTTGCTTCGGGATTATTCTGAGTTCCTAGTGGATGAATCCTTAGTGATCCCCCTGGCAGGATTTGAGTTTCAGTTCTCCATTGTGATGTAACAAAGGGCAGTCTGCACATTTCTAAGTGTAAAACTCAATGCTTTTGTGCATACGTAGCACCCAGAGAACCAGCCT